CAGGGACCGGAACGGTGGCTGCGATGGGAAGCTGGTTTGTCCCCAGAGGCCTTGGGGCCACTAGAGGGGACTGAGGGGGACAGCCATGCCCAGAGTGGTCTTCCAGTGAATGGGATGGGGCGGGTGGACGGGTGTCTGGGAGGTCCCTGGACCCCTGGCCGGGTGCTGGGCGAGTGCTTCCCCCAGGCCCGCCCCAGTGCCCGTCTCAGAAGGGACCAGTCTCCTGCCCTGGATCGCCTTTCGGTCCCTGTCCTCTGGAACATCCCTTCCCCGGTGGCCCTCGGGTCCCACTCCACCAGGGCCTCGAGCACAGGCGCCTTCGTGGGAATTCTGAACCCGCTTCCTGCCCCCTTCTGCCTCCTCCCCGAGCACAGTTCTGTGCGTCCCCTGTGCCAGCTTCGCTGCCCTGCATCGGGTGCCCGCTGGCAGGGTAAGGGCTTGACGTCCGCACGAGCTCCCTGGCAGCCGTGTGGCTGAAGCCCAGCTGCTCCCACGGACCCCCGTGTCACAGCCTTGCTGTCCAGAGCCTTGTGCCCACGGGCCCAAGACGATGGTGTCCTCCCTGCGGTGTCCCCTCCCCTCCGGGGCCTCCTGGGCTGCCCTCTCCGCCCAGGGGCTGCCCATCCACGGGCTGTGTGTGACCCTCCACGCAGTAGCTCTGGCTCTGGGGTGTTACCATAAACAAGTGACACCTTCCATTCCTGTGACCTCATCTTTCCACGGCTCCCCCAAACTGTCCGGCTGGCAGGACCCTGGGGATGCGGCCCTCAGACCCTGGGGCGGGAGATTGGCCTGGGTTTCCGTCCTGCTGCACAGGTGGGGGCGGAGGTCCCTGTGGGGAGGGGGTGGGGAGGGCACCTGGGCCCCCCCCCCCGGGCGCTGCAGGGTGCTCTGCACTGCCTGCCTCAGCTCCACCCTCATCACATGGGCACCAGGTGCCTGCCGATCTCCAGGCCCAGAGAGGGAGAGCGCGTTGCCTGAGGTCACAGCGCAGGGATGGCAGGGACCAGGTGCGATCCCAGGCAGGCCTGAACTAGAAGTTTCACTGGGCCTGGAGGCCAACTGCTAGGAAGGTGAAGGAGGCTCAGACCGACCAGCCCTGTCCTGAGGAGCTCAGTCCCGTGTGTGGAGGGGGTGACAGGCAGGTAATCTGACAGCGGGAGGGGCAAGGAGCCCACCAGCCGAGAGGTCTGGGAGCCTCCCCAGAGCAGGGGCAGCGGGCAGTGTGGTCAGGCGGCGGGCCACAGAGTGCAGCGGGCAGGGTCTCGGACATGCTCCCTCAGCGTCCGCTGGGTCCGTCCCCAGCCCCGGCCTGCCCTGGCCATGCAGAAGGCCAGCCTCAGCAGCCACGTCTCCCAGAACTATTTTTAGACCCAATTCAGCTTTAAATGCAAATACTTTGTCAAGATAATGGCCACCTTGGACCCCAGCCATGGGCAGGCCCGCTCTGAGACACCAGCAGAGAGAACGCCCCAGCCACGGTGACAGGGACCAAGGGCAGAGGTGGTGGCTTCCTGAGGGTGGAGGACAGATCCCGGCCCAGCCCCTGGAGGACCCACTGCACTGATGCCTCCGACAAAAGAGGGTGCAGAGAAACGCACAGGACCGCAGTGCGCTTGCTCCCCTCGAAGGCGGCTGCTCCGCCCCTCCCGCCTTTCACCCCCCCCCCCAGCCTTTCGGGAGGGCTCCCTCCCTCCCAGAGAACCAGAGACGCGTCAACACTGCCCGAGTCCCAGAGTGAGGTCAGGAGAGGCTCGGAGCAAACTCCAACACAAACATCAGGGGAAAGAAAAATGATAGACCAGCTGCATTTACGAGCACCAAAACCTCAAGCAAAACACTAGTAAAAATATTTGAATAGGATAATACATCCGAGTAAAATTAGGTTTTGTCCAGTGATTCAAGGCTGCTAGAATATTCCAAAATCAAGGGATTCGACCCCAGGAGGAAATAATTCCTCATTGCGGTAAAAGCAGGAAAATGCAACGTTAAAACTTGATGTTGCATTTAAAATGCAACGTTCGTGCATAAACAGTGCTTAGCAAACTAGGCCAATAAAGGGTAATGATGAAAAACATACCTCAAATGTTTTATTTAATAGCGAGGTGTTTAAGACTCTCCTTTGAGATCAGGAACAAGAGTAGGATGTCTGTTATCGTTAATTGTACTCGTCATTGAACAAGGGGCGTTAGCCAATGCAAGAAGACAAGAAAAAGGAAAAGTTATTAGGATTGGAAAGGAAGAAACAAAACTCATTACTTTATAGATGTTGCGATTGGTTCCGTAGCAAATCTGAAAGAATCTGTCGATAAATAGTAGAATTAACCAGGGGCTGCCAGACAGGAGGTCAGTGTAAAAAAATCATTAAAAATTAAAAAGAAATAATATCAGTAATAGAGAAAATTTAAAAAAACATTTAAAGGTTACTGTTTACAGTATCAAATATAAGCTGTCTACACAAAAAACTATGGAACATTTTTGGAGAAATGGACAAAAATTGACATGAGTGGAGGAATACCAGACCCATGTATTGGAAGCCTGGATATCATAAATAGGCCACCTCCCCCAAAACTGATCTGTAGGCCTGGCTGCTGTGGCTCAGTGGACTGAGCACCAGACTGTGAACCAAAGGGTCACTGGATTGATTCCCAGTCAGGGCACATGCCTGGGTTGCAGGCCAGGTCCCCAGTAGGGGGCGTACGAGAGGCAACCACACACTGATGTTTCTCTTCCTCTCTCCCTCCTTTCCCCTCTCTCTAAAATTAAATAAATAAAAAACTCTTAGAAAACCTGATCAATAGGTCAGTGCCATTCTAACCAAATTCATGGGACATGCAACTTGATAAATAGGTTCCGAAAGGGACGCAGAAAAGCAGTCAGGGCCCGCGGGGCACCCTCAAGGGAAGCCTGGGTCGTGGGCGGGGTCACCGTACGAACTGACAGAGATGCTGCAGAGCAGAGCCCTGACGCCTGGGCGGCCCTGGGCGGAGACAGGGGCAGAGTCTCGGCAGAGGGTGCGGACGCGGCAGGCACACACGTGCCTGGGAGCTCGGTCCGTGACGAGGGAGGAGGGAGCTGCCTTTTCAGCGAATGGTCAGGGGACAGCCAGACCCTCGTGTGTCCGGACGAAGGAGCCACACCCGACCCCTTGCTTCCCGAGTCACATCTTCTCCTCCTGCCTCCCGCTGACAAAGACCCTGTGGTTCCCCAGGGCCACACAGAGAGTCCAGGGTCACCTGCGGTCTCAGGACCTGTCACCTGATCCCCCTGCAGGCCCCCTTTGATCGTGTGGGGCCATTTTTCAGCCCAGCCGCAGAGCACACACCCACTGGGAAGGAAGCAGGTGCAGGGGGTGGGGGGAGCGGGGGCAGGTGAGGGCTGGTGGGCCTGCAGCCTGGGCCCCCAGCCCTGCTCAGGGCTGGCGGAGCAGGGTCAGGCGCCTGGGCCACCTCCCTCACAGGCGCCTGACCCTGGCAGAATTTCCATCTTTGGTCACCGTGTTCTGAAGCCACTCATCCCGGGGCGGGGGGTGATCATTAAGCCGGCTGCTCCAGGCCCGCCCCACGCCCCCAGCAGCGGTGTTTGTGCCGCCCCAGCTGCGGCTGCAGCTGTGCACTCTGGCCCAGCCCTGCTCTTCTGGCGGCCTGCCGCCAGCTCACACGTGAGCCCCGGGCCTTCTCTCTGGGCTGGGTCTCTGCCTCTGCCCGGTGGGGCTTTTGGACACGGGGGTCTGGGTCCTGGTCCAACCCTCCCTGTCCTGGGAGGGTTCCAGGTGCCTCTGGAGCGATGCTGAGGCCGAAACAGGGTGCGTGTCTTTGCAGGTGCTCCCCAGTCAGCACTCCATTTACAGCTTCCAGCACAGGCAGGGTGGGGTGGGGGGCAGGGGGTGTGGTCACAGCCCGAGGATTGCACAGCGATGGCAGCTGGCGGGCTCTGGAAAAGTTGTTTTTCACGGAGCAGAGCTGGAACAGCGGCTGGGGGCCAGCGACGCCAGGGAGTGGGGAGTGGGGGTGGGGAGGGCTGGCGGCTGCCAGAGGCCTCAAACCCCACAGACTGTGTCCACCAGGGCAGCGCTCTTCATCTGCCAGGGCCCCTCCACCTGGGGGAACGTTGGCCTCCCTGGACACAGAGGCTGGGATGAGCACCCGACGGGTCAGCCAGCGAGGGCCAGAGCCGAGAGCACCGTCAGGCCCCTCAGTCCCGTGCTTGGACACGCCCACATACCTCCTCTGGTTCCCAAGTGGGTGACCTGAGGCCACAGGGGCGATGAGGACAGTCACCACGGGGCTGGTGACAGGGAGCGAGAGGATGTGATGTTTTGTGCCCTTGTGGGGCCAGACCCTGAGTCCGGGTCATTTGATTCGGCGTGAACTGCAGCAAAGCGGGCACCTCCTTGGCACTGTAGAGAGGAGCTGGGTCCCAGCTGTCACCCCTCCTGTCCCCCCCTGAACGGTGCCCTGCCTCCTGGGCTCCAGATCTCAGGGTGAAGAAGGTCAGGGACGTGAAGGGCCGCGAGGCAGGCACGTGAGCGACAGGCACTCGCTGGGCAGGCGCTGGCCCTTCCAGGTGTCTCTGCTCTTTGTCTCTCAGGACCTGGGTCGCGGGGGCTGTGGTGACCCTGCCACGCCCTCAGTGCCCCCTCCGAGCCTGCCTCCCTGTTACCCTCAGTCTGGGGGCTCTCTCCAACCCCGGGGCCCTGGGGGCAGTGAGAGTGGGGAGGTGGGTTTGTGCCTCAGGCTCCAGACACTGTCCGCAAGCTCCTGGGAGGGGCTCGGGTGTCGCCCGCAGCGGCACACGCAGCACAGTGGGGACCGGTGGTCAGGCCGCGCCTTTCCTCGCACTCCGAGAACTCGCCTGGCGCTCAGGGCCTCTGTCCCTGCAGCACCAGGGAGATGCCGTGACCACGGCTGGTACCAGTGCCTACGGATGCTGGCTGAGTCCTCGGAGCAGTGGTGGCCGGTGGGGTGGGGCCCTCAAATGTCCCTGCTGGCTAAAAACCATGTGCTTGTAAACTTTAATTTTCATACAGTAGAGAAACACAATACAAGCCACGTAGGGGTCGATTGTACAGCGAAGCGCACAGATACGCCCAGGGCCAGAACAGGTGCCCCCAGCTGCTGCTGCGGCTCCCGAGGGCTCCATCTTGGCAGCCCCACCCCCCAGGTACCAACTTCCTCTGCCCACCACTCCGGATCACCCCCAGGAGGACAAGCATCCTTCCAGAGAGTGTCGGCACACGGGGCTCCTGCTGCCTTCTCTCCCATGGGGGAGGGGTGCACACCGCCAGCTGGGAGGCCCTGCTGGGCAGCCAGGGGGTGTCCCTCCAGTGCCTGCTCCAGGCCAGGCCCGCCCAGCCAGGGAGGCTTGAGAGCAGGGAGCTCTGGCCAGACAGAGACACATGATGCAAACACAGGAGAAGGGGTGGGTAGGGGGGAGAGGGTGGACTTCAGGGACGACAGAGGTGTCTCTCCAAGAATTGGGCTCATGTGTTATCCAGAGAATGTGGAAGGTGGCTCCTGGGGGCATCTGTACGTGGGGGACCTCGAGCTGCCCCCACGGCTCCATGGTTCGGGAGCTGTCACTCCCTGAGGCTGAGTTTGGACCCCTGGCGGGGCCCAGACTGTGGCTCTGTCCTTGGGGGCGAGAGAGGAGGCCACTGGCTCTGCTGAGGACCGACTCCGGTCCCTCGTCCTGGCCCTGCCCAGGCTCCGGCTCCTGGGGGAGCCCCTCGGCTGGCACCTGTCTTCGGCCACAGGCCCGGGTGCTTGGCGGTGGGGCGGCGGCAGCGGCCCCGGCTTCACAGGACCACCTCGGGCGCGATGTTGAAGAGGAGGTCATCGTTCCCCCGCCGCACCTCCAGCAGCAGCGGGGACTCGGTCAGCACGGCCTCCTGCAGCTCGCTGGAGTCCGTCAGCGGGCGCCCGTTGACCTTGACGATGATGTCGCCGTCTTGGATGCCCCCTCTGCTGACAGGAGAGACCTGTGGTCACCGCACAGCCCTGCCAGGCCCAGGCCCCTGGGGCTTCCTGACACGAGCTATTTAAGGGACGGACCCTTTCAACAAACAGGCGGGATGGTGCCCGCCTGTGAGACTCGCCCCCCAGATGACGGACAGAGACGTCTACTCCTTCCCTCCCTTGGAAGGGCAGGTTCAAGTCCCGGCTGTAGCCACCCCCCACCGCTGGACTGCTGTGGGCCCGCACGCTGGCCCTTGGGGCCTGGGTCCCCACACCTGCAGCCCGGCATGGGGACACGCTTCGAGAATGACAGGAGGTCCAGGGAGTCGGTCCCAAAGCCGCCCAGTTGCTAAGGCTTCCGCAGAAGAGGCAGAGGGTGCTGGGTCGCCTCCCTCTGGGCTGGACTCACTGTGACCTTGCCCGTCCCCGGAGGGGAGGCCGGTGGGGTGGCTCTGTGTTGGGTCAGTAGTGCCGGCTGCGTGGCCGAGAGGGTGACTTCTCTAAGCCTCCCTGTCCCTGCGTGTGAAGTGGGGTGAGGGCAGCACCCAGCTCTTGGGGTGCCCGGCACATGGGCCCGCTCTCGGTAACTGCCCTGCCGAATTCAGAGCACAAGAGCCCCGAACAAAGGGCCGGCGTCGGGGAGGTCACCCCCATGCCTCCTGGACCTGTACTTCAACAGTGTTCCGGCCGGCCAGCAGGGGGCAGGGCCTGTGCTCTGACCCCAGAAGGACATGAGGGGTCACAGCTGGTGTGGCTCAGTGGACTGAGTGCCAGCCTTCGAACCAAAGCGTCGCTGGTTCAATTCCCAGTCAGGGCACATGCCTGGGTTGCGGGCCAGGTCCCCCGTAGGGGGTACGTGAGAGAAAGCCACACATTGATGTTTCTTTCCCTGTCTTTCTCCCTCCCTTCACCTCCGTCTAAAAATAAAATAAGTAAAATCTTTAAGAAACTTTTTTAAAGGACGTGAGCAGCCTTCCAGCACAGCCTCCTGGAGCAGCGCAGACGTGAACACATCGGGGGGCCCTGCTGGGACGAGGGGCCGTGGGGGTGGGGCTCCTGTCCACGCCCACACCCCGCCGTCACCCCTCCACGCAGCCCCTGACCCCTGTGGAACCTGGAATGACAGTGTAGGACCGTGGGTCCCATGTGCCCACTGACGGCCCCAAAGGGTGACTCAGCCAAAGGAGGGGAGGCGCTTGCTCAGAGCCCTCCGAGGGGCCGGGACCACCCCTGTCTGCGCACAGAGACCGCGCTGCCTGTGAGCCTTCCCGCACGGTGCTGGCCGACGCACCTTTCTCCAGTGCTTGGCCCAGACGCCTCCCGGGCGCAGGGAGCAGGCCGGAGCGCGCCCGTTTGGGGGATGAGAGAACAGACCCAGGCCAGCCACTGGGCTAACGAGAGCCAGGCTGGTTCTCAGCGTGGGAGGTGTGGGGGCTCCACCGCTCTGTGTCCCCTGAGGACCGGGGACATTCAGACCACCGAAGGGCATGGCCAGCGCTCTGTGGGACACGTGGTCTCTCCAGCCTGCCCCTGCTCACAGGCCAGGCCAGAAGCCCTCCGGCCACTCCCACACCAGGTCTTGCCAGGAAGCTCCAGGTCAGTGACCGGGGCCCAGCACAGGCCCCACGCCCACTGGGGTGCCCGACCGCCTCCCACGCAGCCTCCCTGCTTCCTCTAGTGGGGCCCACCTCTGGGACGGAGAATTCGGAGCGACCTCTTGCACGTAGATACCACTGCTGACGTCCGGGAAGTCCGGGTTGCCGGCCTTCAGCTCCTCCACCAGACTGGAAAGACAGCCCCAGGTGAAGGCCCTTCCCCTGGGCCTCGGAGGCGCAGAGCGGCCCCTCCGCCCGCACCCGCAGGCCAGGCGAGGAGCCTCCTCCGGGCCCCCACGCTGCGCTGCCCTGCTGCCGGCCTTGCCGTTGGCCCACCTGGGACCCCACTCCCTGTGGGCTCCTCAAGAGAGACCTTAGTGAAGGCGGATGAGTAGAAGTGTGGGAGGAGGTGCTGGAGGGTGGGTGAGAGAAGGGGTGGAAAGGTAGAGGGACGGATGACCAGGGAGGGAGGGAGGGAGGAGGGAAAGATGAATGCAGAGATGGAAGCTGGGATGGACAAACACAGGGAGCGAGCCACAGGCCTCGCTCCCATGGAATGGACAGACAGAAGTCTGGACAGGCGTGATGGACAGATGGACAGATGGGCGGAAGAGAGAGAAAGAAAGAACACAAGTAGAAGGGAAGTTCGTGTGTCCTGTCGATCAGGCGCTGCCGGCAGATTTACTGCTGGACTCGCTGCTGCTGAAACAGGAGCGACTGTCGTTTTGGGCGCCGAGTGGGCGTGAGGGCACGGTTGCCCAGCACGCCTTAGTCCTCCCCAGAGCCCCCCGCCATGGCGACCCCTTCCTTCTCTAGCTCCTCAAGCTGGCTCCCTTCCTCCCCATCCCTTCCTTCCTTCCCTTCCTCAGGAGCCGGCTCTGCTGTGGCTCGGTTCTGGGGGCAGCAGAGGGTGGTGTGGGCCACAGTCCTTGCTCCCAGGAGCTCACAGCATGGTGGGCTGGGGACCACAAACAGGCAGCTCCAACCCCACGGGACCCATGCGACAGCGTGGGCGGGGGAGCACGCCGTGCACACTAACAGGAGGCACCAGTGTCTGCGTGAGCAGCCTGTGCCAGGGGAACAGTGCCCCCTAAAATTCGCGTCTACCCAGGGCCTCCGAACGTGACCTGGTTGGAATAGGGTCGGTGCAGATATGATTGGCTGAGGGTCCCCGAAGGGGACCATCCTGGCTTAGGCTGGGCGGCAAATCCAACGGCTGGTGTTTTTCCGAGAGACAGAAGAGCGGTGTTTGGAAAGGGGGTGCGCAGGGAAGGAAGGGGCTACGTGAAGCCAGAGGCAAGAGACTGGGGCGATGCGGCCATGCCCCTGGGAGCCCCGGGAGCTGGGGGAGGCCGGAAGGATGCTCCCCTGGAGTCTGGGGGGAGCACGGAGCTGCCAGTGCCTCGATTTTGAACTTCAGGCTTTGAGAACTGAGAGAAAATGAGTTTTCTAATTTTCTGTGGTTTTAAGCCAGGTATACAGGAATTTGCTACAGTAGTCACAGGAAATTAGACCTAGGAGGCTTTCCAGAGGAGGGGGCACCTGAATGAAGTCCTGAGGGGTGGCACCCGCCGGGCCAGGGGGCAGGCGGCACTTCAGGCAGAGGGACCGGCCTGAGCAAGGCATGGAGCCTGGAGCCCAAGTGCACCAGGTCCCCAGGAGCACCTGCAGGTGGCCGGACGGGACTGGCCGGCGTCTGGGGCCGCGGTGAGGCAGCATGGCGGAGCGGTGTTCAGACTCACCTGGGCGTGATGGTCCTCATCCGTATGCCAATGAAGCGCTTCTTCCAGTCTGGAAAGGGAACATGACAGGCCTTGGTTAGAACCGCCATGGGGGGTGGAGTGGATGGGGCAGATGTTGCCCCACGGGAGCAGGGGGCACAGATGCGTCCTGCCATGGTCGGCCAGCCCCTGTGAGCTCAGACACCCGGGGCTGCCTCTTCTCGTGGCTGCTCTGAGGCCAGGAGATGTCCGGGCTCAGTCTGATGGCTTCACATCCCCGCACTACCCAACCTCAAAGCTCCAAGTCAGCTCTCCCTCTGTGCTCCACGCCCAACCCCCGGGGGCCAGCGGGGTTCTCCTCTGCAGCCTGCATCCCGTAGGCTCCCAACTTCCCTTGCTCAGATCTGAACGTGTCCCCTCCCCTGCCTGTCCCCCAAATACCGGTGTTAATCCGCATGCCCAGCGGGCACTGGAGTGCGCCAGGCCCTCCCATTGCAGCATCACACACACAACCCTCCAAGAGTCACCCCCGCTCTCCCCAGCCACCCTAGTCTGTGACGAAGCTGGGGTCCTGGGCCCAGAAATGACATGTGCATATTCGGAACCAAGGGACAAACGTCAGTGTATTTTTAAAATTCCATATTATAAAAGTATGCTCTCTGACCACACTGGAATTAAATGAGAAATCAGTAATAGAAAGGTTCCTAATAACTTATTACACACTTCTAAATAACTCATTCAAAGAAGAACCAAAAGGTAAATTAGAAATATTTTAAATTAAACAAAAGTGAAAATATAACTTATCAAAATTTGTGGGATGCAGGTAAAGCAGCACTTAGAGGAAAATCATAGTACTAAAATGCTGCACTTAGGAAAGAAGAAAAATCTCCAACCAATGACTTCAGCTTTCATCTTAAAAACTAGAAAATGACCAGATGAGACCCAAAGTAAATGAAGAAGGGAAATAATAAAACATAGAAATCAATGAAACAGGAAGCAGGAACACAATACAGAAAATAAGTGAAAACCAAAAGCTGATTCTTTGAGTAAAACCGATGAGCCTTTACGCAAACTGATCAGAAAAGGAGAAAAGTACAACTTTCGATTATCAGGAAAGGTGACATTGAGACAAATCCTATGGCTGTTAGAGTATAATTAGAGATAGATAAGAACAGCTTCACACCAAGGAATTGGACAACTAAGACAAAATGTACAGGTTTCTTCAAATTTCCAAGCAACCAAAGCTCACTCAGGAAGAAAGAGACATCAGGATGAGCCCTGTATCTACTGAAGAAATCGAAATTGTCGTTAAAAACCTGCCCACAGAGAAACCTCAGGCTCACACGCCCTCAGGCCCCACGGGGGAGTCGCACCAAATGTCTAGGAAAGAAATGGTACCACTTCTGAACAAACTTCCCCACAGAACCGAAAACCAGGGAATGCTCACGGCACCGTGACGCAGATGGTGAGAAAGGTGTGGTTGGTCTGTAACCCTGGCTCCCTGGGCTTGTGCTTCGTGTCTTTCCTAAAACTTTTACAAGTCCCTAGTGACCGGGGCAGCTTTTGCTCCCAGCTCTTGAAAGTAGTCCCAAGGCTGTAAAAGACGGACGGGCTTTGTTATTCATTACGAGTCCCTTCCAACAAGTCTGAGTTCCTCTGAGTTCGGGTCAGCTAGGGGACTTTTGAGAAGGCCCTGGGGAGGGGGCCTGTTGTCAGGAGAACCAACCCTGTGTGCCCCACTCCCTGATTTCTGGGGAGGGGGACCCCGGAGGGCACAGGTAGGTGCTCCACGCTCTCTCCCCTGCCCTGCCCTGCCCTGCCTGTGCCGCCCTTCCACTGGGTGGTCCCGAGTTGTATCCTCTAATAGTAAACAGCTGACCTAGTAAGTAAACTGCTTTCCTGAGTTCCTGAGCTGCTCTAGCAAATGGTCCAAGTCCAGGAGGGAGTCGTGGGAGCCAGTCAGCCAGGGGCACAGGTGACAACCGGGACTTGTAACGGGCACCTGAAGACAAGGGCCAGACTTGAGAGACTGAGCCCTTCCCCGGCGGGTCTGACACCGCCCCCGGGAAGACAGTGTCGGGTCCAAGTTACGTGGTCAGGCACCAGCATGGGGCAGGGCCACGAGGTTTAAAAAAGTCAGCAGGCACTCGGGTTGGACTGGGAGAAGGAGAGCCGTCCGCATCCCCAGACTGGGTCGTGCCCCACTCAGCAAAGCGGTAGAATCTACAAAAAGCTACTAGAACGAATGAGTTACCAGGGTGGCAGGGTCTCTTGGGATCGACATACCAAAATCCACTTTATTTGTACGTTCTAGTTACAATCAGAAATGGGAAGTTTTAGGAATATCCCATTTATTACAGCCTTAAAACTCTGCAATGTCTAGGAGTTGACCTGAGGCAGCCTAGTCCTCATACTCGGGGATTGGGAAACACCACGGAGAGCAACCGAGGGACGTGGGACAGAGGGGAGACGGCCCGTATCCAAGCGTCAGAAGATGCCACGTGGCTGCAATGCAGTTCTCCCCGGTTCCAGCCCATCAGAGATGCAGGTCCCCTCTCCAGGCTGGAGGCCACCCCTGAGGGGCCATCCCCCACTGTCACCAAGGGCAGATGCCCCTCCGCGTCCAGCCCCATGGGTTCAAACTCCCCAGCCCTAAGGTTGGCTGAACCCCCAGACCTTCCTCGGGCCCCAGGCCCCAGCAGCACTATAGCCCCCGAACCAGCACGGTGACCCCTCTGACTGCGAAGGCCCCCCAGAGACTCCTGCACCCCAACCCATGCACAGGAACGAGAGGTGAAACTTAACTAATGTCTGCTTGATTTAATGGAAAGAAGGCTTGTTTTAAAGAACTTTAGATTCACTGGATTTAGGTAATTTATATTCAACAGAACTCCAATCAAACTATCAGTGTGGTTTGAGGGTGGAAATTGACAAACCGATTCTAAAATCCATATGGAGTATTGGCTGGTGTGGCTCAGTGGACTGAGCACTGGCCTGAGAACCGAAGGGTCGCTGGTTTGATTCCCAGTCAGGGCACATGCCTGGGTTTTGGGCCAGGTCCCCAGTAGGGGGCATGCAAGAGGCAACCACACATTGATGTTTCTCTGCCTCTCTTTCTCCCTCCCTTCCCCTCTGACTATAAATAAATTAAAAATCTTTAAAAATTAAAAAAATTTTCTCTTTAGAGGGGAAGGGAAGGAGAGAGGGAGAGAAATATCAATGTGTGGTTGCCTCTTGCATGCCCCCTACTGGGGACCTGGCCCAAAACCCAGGCATGTGCCCTGACTGGGAACGGAACCGTGATCGTCTGATTGGCAGGCCTGCGTTCAATCCACTGAACTATACCTGCCAGGGCTAAATAAAAAATCTTTCAATAAATAAATAAAATCTACACAGAGATTGAAGGATCAGAAGAGCCAAAACAACTTGGAAGGTCACAGTGGGGCAGTCCCGCCTGCTCTCAGGGCTGGCTGGTCACGAAGCTCCAGCAACCAGGACAGCCCAACACCGGCATAAAGAGGGACAGACGGACACCTGGGACAGAATGTGAGCGTTTTGTTGCTGACCGACTTGCAGAGGCAGTTTAATGGAGAAAGGGTAACCTCTTCAACAGATGGCGCCGGAACAATTGAACACCCAGAGCAGAAAAAAGAACGCTTATCCGCACTTTGCAAAACCAGCTCAGAGGGCATCATTATCCCGAACTGGAGAGCGAAACTTCCAGGAGGGTGTTTCCTGACCTCCAGGCAGCCAAGCTTCCCCGCACACCCCACCGGGCCACGGCCCCTTCAGACGCGCGGTGACTCAGACGTGGTCCGCATCCACAGAACTTCCGCTGCTCAGAGGCGGTTAAGATGGGCCGCGGGCCAGAGGAAAAATACGCAGTCTGGCATCTGATAAAGGGGCGTGCATCCCATCCAGAAGGTATAAAGAACTCTCAAGACATCACAAGAATAACAGCAACCCTAATTTTGTAAATGGACAAACTGTTTAAACAGACGGTTCACCAGAATTGTGGAGGGAGCCCAGTGGGAGATGAGGTCAGGGAGGGTGGAGGCCCGACTGACGTAGGTCTGGGCCGGAGGTGGCTTCAGGGTCCCCCCACACAGTGAGGTGGAGCCTGGAGGGGTTCCCGAAGAGAACTGCCCCCGAAGGAGCAGCGGGGGCCGGGGCGGGGGGAGATGTCTGCGGGGGGGGGGGGCAGTGGCACCGGAGCGGAGAGGCGGCAGTCGGCCCGTGAGCGGCCCTGATGGCTGGACTGAGTGGCGGGACTGGAGACTGGGACAGGGCTGGTGCGGGAGGGACAGGCCCACAGGCGGGGGCACTGAGTACAGGAGCAGGGGGACAGAGAGGAGACTGAGGAGGAAGGTGACAGGGCATGCTTGGAGCGGAGACGCCCACAAACATCTGTACGCATCCCAGTCTAGAGCTGAGGGAGGGGATCCGGCAGAGACAGACATTTGGGGGCGGGGGCGTCACTTTCTAGGTGGCAGGTACAGCCGTGACACTGGATGGGTCCTCAGAGGAAAGGGGACCAGCCCAGGTCCCCTCCTCGGCCCGCCATCCTGCTCCCAACAGGCACTGGCCCGCTTCGCTCTAACCCCAAGGTCATGCTTTGGAAGCGGTGGTCAGGGCTGGAGCCCAGTGGACCCAGGCACGGGGTCCAGAACACCGGCCCCTTCCCCTCCTTAGCCCAGCTCCTGCCTCCTCTGCCCGGGATGGATTTGGGACTCCGGCACCTGTGACCCTGGGACCAGGGGTGTGCATTCGGACCCCTTCCTCCCTGTGCCCTGCCCCCATGATTCCCTGCAGCTCTCTCTCAGCTCCCGGCCACAGGGGACAGCCCACTGGAGGCAAAGTTTCCCCTCTCCAGGCCGGAGACGACCCCTGAGGGCCACCCCCAACTGTCACCGAGGGCAGACACCCCTCAGTGCCCAGTCCCATGAGCTTCAACTCCCCAGTCCTAAGGCTGGCTGGACCCCCAGAGACCCCTGGGCCCAGGCAACGCTACAGCCCCCAAACCAGCCCCTCCGACCGTGAATGGTCCCCAGGGATTCCTGCACCCTGACCCCCGGACAGGAACAAGAGGTGAACCTTAACTAACATCTTGATTTAATGGAAAGAAGGCTTGTTTTAAAGATCTTTAGGTTAGCTGGGTTTAGAGAATTTGATGTTTTTATTTTTAGAAAAGCAGAAGTGAATACCAGGGGATGTTAAATGAGAGATTCGGTCATTCGGCCATGGTTCATCGGGCTCTCCGACCAGCCCACAGGCCCTGGCAGAGTGGCAGCTCTGGGGACGGTGGGGGGTGTTTCCTGGGGGGTGAGTGGAGGTCAGCGCTGACAAGGACAGTCCCCATGCAACCAGGGGGCGAGCCTGTCCCCTGGAGGGTCCTGTCCCAGAGCCAAGAGGAGCAGAGGCAAGAAGAGAGAGGACCCTGTCATCCCACGTCAAACGTGAAACAGGGACCTCCCCACCCACTCTGTGCAAAGTGCAGCTCTGCCTGCCTCTGGGAAGGTGGCCAAGGTCAAAGGCACCCCTGGAGCAGAAGATAATTCCACAGGAAGGCTCAGTTACTAGAGGAAGAATCAAGGCTCCGATGGTGACAAAGATGCAGCCCTGGGTCACATTCTGAGCTTCTCAGCAGCTGAAGGGAAAGGGCTCAGGGGTTGGTTGGTGAGTTGGTGAGCAACAGAAGCCCTCAGCCCTGGCTGCAGGCCATCTCCACATAAGGGACTCGGATGACCAGACAGAGTCCTCGACAGCAGTTCTTCACGTGACCAGTCCTCATGGCACCGGTCCTGGCTGAACTGGGCACTGTGTGCTTGGCTGGCGGAAGGGTGGAGGGTGGGGCGAGCATGCGGGAGCCCCACTGCTGTCAATGAATTGCTGGTGAGAGGGCTGGGAGGAGACAGGGAAGCAATGTGACTGTGTGAGTATCAGGGCTGGGCCAGGTGTGGGCCAGGTGGGCGTGGAGACAACATGGCGGGAGGGGGAAGTTCACTCGGTCTGAAAGGAAAGGTGGGAAGGTGGAGACCGCCGGGAAAGGTCCTGAAACCAGAAATTCGACCCTCTTCTGGGCACGGCCTCACTCGGGAGAGTCACCTGCGCCCATCCAGGCCTCTCCCAGGTGCAAGCCATGATGAGTGCCCAGGGTGGGCTGGCCATCCCTGTGTAGATGGGGTGAGGAGATGGGGGCTGAGAGAAGGGGGACTTCTAAGGATCAGGGAAGGGCTCCTGGAGTGCAAGTTACCCTGCCTGGCAGTCTGCACGGGCAGAGGGCAGGAAGAGGAAGTACTTAGGGATGGTAGAAAGGGTGCATGGCGGGTGGATGAATGAGTAGATGGATGGGAGGACAGGAGGATGGATGGTGGGTGGACGGTGGATGGATGGTGGGTGGATGGTGGGTGGATGGATGGTGGATGGATGGTGGATGGATGGTGGGTGGATGGATGGTGGATGGATGGTGGGTGGATGGATGGTGGATGCATGAATGCATTGTGGGTGGTGGATGGATGGTGGTGGGTGGAAGGAGGGAGCCCCGGAATTCGACACCGGTGGAGCACTGCAGACACAGGGGCCCAAGTAGCTGGAGGTGGGAGGTGAGGTCAGAGATCCCCAGCCTGTCTAGTGGGGCAGGTGGTGAACGTGGCCATGAAGTGAGAAGGGGGGAGACCTGAGAGTGTCCAAGACTCAGCAGTGAGCAAGGGCACACAGCACGGGCTGAAGGATGGCGGACGTCCGTGGGAGGGCGGGAGGCCCGAGCCCGGGTTCCATGTCCCTGGCCCCAGCCAGCCCCTGGGACGCTCTCTACCTTTGACTTGCTTGTCCTGGAACTCTGTGAGGAACTGCATGATGCGGTCCGAGGGGATGGCGAAGGAGATGCCGGCTGTGACCTTGAGGGTGTTGATGCCGATGACCTCGCCATCCTGGGCGTGGGGAGAGCAGAGCGGGCGGTCAAAGTGGCAGCACAGGCAGCCGCTGCCCCCAGCTGCAGGGCACGGTGCCCAGAGATGCCCTGGCCGGCGTGCCCCAGCCTGAGGAGGCTCCGGGGCAGCGCAGAAGCTGACACCTGGGTCGGGGCCCCCAACCGTCCCACCGTTTTCCTCCACACCTGACCCCTCCTCCCTCACTGGACAGTGTCGGCCACCCCCTGGAAGCAGGGCCACTGACCCCAGACCCCCCAAGCAGTGTTCTGAGGGGCTGGAGCCCGGAGAGGAAGGTGCGGAGGACTGTGGAGACTGGGGCCCCCTCTGTCCCTTCCCTCCGGAGGCAGGTGCGGCCCGGGAGGCTCTGTAGTGTCCCCTCTCTCTTGTAGGTCCATGTGTTTGGAACTGGCCTCCCACCCTGACCCCACCCTGATCCCCCGCTGGGGCCTTGGGCCGAATCCACCCTGGCCATCAGGCCCACGTGCCCCTGGGAAGGCTGTTCCCCACAGCCTGGCACACATACCCCTGCACCTGTTCCTGCCCATCCCGGGGGCAGCCTCCTGCCCTGCTCCCCAGGGGCCACCTTTGGGGGCAGAACTTTGGATCAAGGCACACCTCGTCTGCCTGGTCCCCCGAGTGTGGGTCCCTGCCTGGTCCTCTGGGCTCTCAAGGTGAAAGGATCCGGGGGTCTCCCATTGGCCCTGTTTACCCACCCCACTGCGTCCTGGGCCCCCACTGAAAGTCACCCACAGGAGCTTTCTCGAACGCCAGTGGGACGCACCCTGCTAAAGGCCCTCAGGGCGCAGCATGGACACCCACCATCCGGCCATCCGGCCCTCCCACTCTGCATCTGCAGCCACAGTGCCTGACTGGGACCCCGTCCCGTCACGCCCCTGCTGTGCCCTCTTCCTCAGTGTCTCCCTCCCACATGTCCATGGCCCAGGTCAGACGCTTCCACCTCCAGAAGGCCCCCGGTCCCACATCAGCTGCGACACCCTCCCTGCCGGGTGTCCCTCCAGAGCGCTCTCCCTGCTTTTCACACTGAACTTGGATGTGTCTGTGTCGAACACACTTCCTGCCCCGCAGTGGGAGCTCCCTGGGGGGGGGGGGGGCTGCAGGGGACCATTTCCCTGGGCCCAGGGGCTATGAACCGAGCTTCCTGACTCACTTGAGACATCTCGCCTGGGATGAGAATGAGCCTGTCTTCGGGGTGGACCCAGGACAGACCTGGGGGAGGGGACTTGAGGGGCATGAGCGAGAATGAGGACAGCCCCCCATCTTGCACATAAACTCAAGGGCCGGAGACACTGGCCCCACCCTGTGCCTCCACAGCCTCAGGTCCCAGACGGGCACACAGCCCTAACCTGGCCGCTGCCCCGGTCTCCCCGATTCCTCTGACAGCCACTGCGTTCCTGGGGGCATGGGGGGTACAGGGCAGCACGCAGCTGGGTCACGTTTTCCTGTTCTCTCGCTCAGCTGCTTTCCTAACCGTCATCTCCGCCCCAAAGCCACCCCCACTCCATGTGAGCTGAGCCCCGGGGACACTCACCAAGTTCACCAGCGGTCCCCCGGAGTTCCCGTACTGCAGGGGGAGGAAACTCAGAGTCAGCTGAGAGCCCTGAGCCCCGACCGAGCAAACATCCTGAAGCTTTCCCCTCCAACTCTCATTCTAACGGCCAGAGACGTGGCCAGATCTCATCCCCACCGGCACGGGAAGGCCTTGTCGCCACCCCCCATCTCACAGATACGACAGCTGAGGCCCACAGAGGCCAAGTGGATGGCAGGCTGAGGCTCGGGTCTGACCCGGGCAGCACTCTGCACAGACAGCCAGGCTCCTGCCAGTCTCAGCCACTGGGGCCGAGGCAGAACAGGCCTCAGTCGTCACTCTGGGGACTCAGGAGCCTTGACAATGACTGACACCCCCGGTGAAGCACCCCAACCACAGCCACCTCTCCGGTCTGGCCAGGGGCTCGGTGAGAGCGCACGGGCCATCCAACACACTACTGCCTATGAAAATGCAGCCCGGGGCGTCCTTCGGGCAAAGATAACCCACGGGCGAGGCTGCACCTCTGCGTCCTGGAGGGCTGTCCCCGCCTCAAACTCCGGGGCAGACCTGCACCACGGGACTTTCCAGCAAGTGGACTTGAGCAGAGACGGGTGGGCCCTGGGACAGGAGACCGCCCGGAGAACTGACTCACGTTGATGATGGCGTCCGTCTGGACGTAGTCCATGTCCGAGTCCCGGAGGCCCAGCTCCCTGCCGTCCCGCTGGGCCGTGCTGACGATGCCTGTGGTCACGGTGTTCTGCAGGGCGAAGGGGCTGCCGATGGCCACCACGAACTCGCCGGGCCGCAGGTCTGCCGAGCGGCCCAGTAGCAGCGCTGGGAGCTTTTTCTGGAGGGGGAAGGGGAAGGGCTCAGGAGGGAGTCTCATCGGAGCGCCTTTGGTGGAGAGACCACAGCGAGACCATGGCCCCCGCAGGGCCACCAGGGTGAAAGCCAAGGCCAGTCCCCAACGCGGACCAAGGCCAGGCTGGCCTCCCACTGACCCATGGTGAATGAGAAGGACCCAGGCTGGCACCCGTGGAGCCCCGCCCATGACTGCAGGGCTTCCTAGGATGGGCCACAGGGTCCATCACAGGGAGGAGGCACTCAGGGTCCAGCCGGACACAGCCTCCGAGGCCACTGAACCCACTGGTTGGTCACAGGTCTCTGAAAATCTGACAGGAGCCATGCACACCGCCCCCGAAGGTGCCCCACGCACACACTGGTGTGTGCAACCTGGAGACTGCGGGAGCCCCGGGGCCCCGCTGAGTGCCTGGGAACCCCCGTTACAAAATCCTTGACCCACTCGACCTCTTCCCCGGGTCAGCCACACAGGGAAGCTGAGGCCCCGAGCGACGAAGCAGCCCAACCAAGCTCCGCCGCCCCCCGCGTGCTGGCTGGCACCCACCCACCCTCTCTTTTTCCTGCGTGGGGCAGCGGAGCCGTCTCTCCAGCTGCCTCTACAATGGGGCCGGGAGCTCTGACGCGGTGGGGACTGGGCCAGAGGGGGTGCCCTGCGCCTGTAAGGAACTGCTAAAGTGCCCACGCCCGCACCCACGCACGTGGAATCGGCGCAGGCTGAAGCTCTGTGCCTGAAGCCACGTCAGTTTCCTGGGGCTGGTGTTGCACCCCTTATGTCTCATGTCACCCCGGGGGAGCTGGGGGGCCACAGGGCCCTCTGGGCACCACTTCCGCAGCTTCTGTGGGTCTGGAGTTCTCTCTAGATAAGAAGCTGCTCAAGGAGGGACGGCAGACGGCCATGCCCAGGTCGCAGGGGCCACGCTGTCCTCTTCACAGCAGCTGGGGGACCAGGGTGGAGGTGGAGGGACAGGACGTACGTCCCAAGGGTTCCCCATTGGCCTCCGCTGTCACACCCATGGCACGGCTATACTCCTGCAGTGGTCCCAGCAGGGAGAGCGCGGCCCTGCGCCTTGGAGGACCCCTGCGTGGCGGTGCCTGTGGCAGTGGCCAGCAGCCTCGTGCTTGTCCGGCCTGACCCACAGCCGTGCAAGCTGCCGGTCCCTGGGGCCCGGTCCCTCCAGCTGTCCACGAGGGGTCTGGCTGCCAAGTCCCTATGCTCTGGCGCCCGGGAGGGTGCCCCAGCCCAGCCGCCCACTCACGTGGGGGTAGATCTTGATGGTGGCGATGTCCGACTTCTTGTCTATGTCCTTGATGGTGGCCTCGTAGGTGTCCCCGTTCTGCAGCTGCACCTTGAGCTGCTGCCGGCCCGAGACGGCGTTGGAGCTGGACACCACGTGGGCGTTGGTGAGGATCAGGCCAGCCTCCGACATGATGAAGCCGGAGCCGCTGGACAGCGGCACGTTGCGGCCAAACAGCGGGTGTCTGTGGGAGGGGACACAGTGACGGCTGAGCCCGTGCGGGGTCCCCCAGGCCCAAGTCCAAACACTTACTCTCCTGCTTCCTGGCCGTGGTCTTGGCCAGGTCACTAAGTCTGCCCCATTTTATAGCCACCGGAAGGGGCAGTAATGTCGAACCTGCAATTTGCCGGGTGAGACACCAGGCCATCGAGTCAGACCTGTGATGACACAGCCGACACTCGCCACTCGGACAACAGGACACTGGAGCCAGACCGACCGGGGTGCTAATTGCAGGGGCGGCCTCCACGTGCCTGCCTGTCCGTGGGCGGGCCGCCGCGCCGCGCTTCTCTGAGCCGCGGCCTCCCCATCCGGGCAACTGGTGACAGCAACCCCCACTCTGCTCGGGGTGGGGGGCCCGGGGCCTGCAGCCCTGGAGGCAGCGCATTATTGGCAGCAGGGGCAGTCGCCAGCCGGTCCCCAGGGCATGTCAGTGTCCCCAAGCTCTGACTGGGAGTGAGGGCAAGCACTGGGGAGGGGGGCGCACTGGCACCTCCCCTCGACCCTGCCCTCGGCCAGCTGCCTGGGAGCCCCAAGGGGCCGGCCGAGCAGCACAGGCGGTGGCCTCCACTCAGGGAGTGCCACACCTTTCCACGCTTCTGAGGACACAGGGGCAGGAGGAGCAAGGGACATGGCAGGGCAACAGGGATCGAGGGGCAAGGCAGCTGGCGTGGGTTCAAGGTGGGTCCTCACTGATGGGCGACGATGCCCAGCCCTCTGAGTAGGAGCCACGGCCCCGTCCCGGGGTGGAGGGAGGCAGAAGGGCAGACGGAGCCCAGGGCCTCCTCCAGGGCCCGGTGGGGGGGGGGGCAAGGGCTCGGTGTGGGAGGCGGCTTTGCAGAAATGAGTGAGAAAACTGTGCCAGCGAAAGCGGGGTGGGATTTCTTAGGGAACTGAGTCTCTGGCTGGGCGGGACCAGTGACCGCAGCTAGCGCCACCAAGCATTCCCTGTGAACCAGGGACGAAGCTGTTCGATGCTCCTGGTAGGTGCCCTACAAGGTGGGTAGGTCTCCAGTGCACAGGTGGGGAAACCGAGGCCCAGAGAAATGAGTCACTTGCCAGGGCCAGGCCAGCAAAGGGCAGAGCAGGGGTGTGAGCCGGGCATCCTGGGGACTCGGCCCCTCTCGGGCGACCACAGCCTGTGCCCACCCGGCACCGTGTGTCCTGGGCAGGGCCGCACCTGAGAACCTGCCGCCGGCGCCTGCCTGGCTGACGCGCACGGTGCTGGGTGTTTGTCTGAGAAGGGCCTGAGGCGGCCCGGGGGCCTGCTCACACGGGTTGGGGTCATAGCGGAGCCCTCCCCTGCTCGGTGACCATCTCGCCTTGTCTGGGATCTCGTCTGTATCTGGGATCTGGCCCCCATCCCTAGGACGCCAGACTCTAAGGCTGATGCGGAACCGCCACCGCCTGCCGGGCTGGGCTGCGGTGAGCAGTGAGCTGGCTCAGGGCCCGGGGCCTGGAGCCTTCTGCAGAGGCGAGCCCGGCCCCAGCCCAAGTCACCTGCAGGGCCAGGGACCTCTCGCAAGTGCCACTTAGCATGTTCAGTGATAATTTCCTCAGTGACACATCTCAGGGTCTGGGACCCACAGAAAGGCCACAGGTCAGAGTGGGGCAGAGGGTGGGGCCGGGCTCTGAGGCCCGGGGAACTCGGTCACACCCCCTGGGCACTCAGTAGCTCTGTGAGCCCAGGGGAAGGGCCCGGGCTCTGCTCCCGCAGGCAGGAAATGGGGACACAACAGCCTACTCTGGGGGGCATGGGAAAATGCCGTGGGCCAGAGAATGGAAGGGTACTGGGGCGCAGGCACCGGGGGATGCCTAGGCCTGAATCTCAGGGTGAGTCCCACAGGTGCCTGGCTCCCTCTCATCTGGGGGCGGGGGGGGGCGGTGCTTCAGGGCTGTCTGAGAAACGTGGGCAAAGCAGCTACCGCAGAGGGGACACACAGGAGGTGTCTGAGGGGACCGCTGTTCTGACAGGGCCGGGCTCCTGCCTCCCATCTGCTTGCCCCTGTGGCACACTGCTGCCGGTGGGCACTGGGCCTGCCCTCCAGCGATGGGCAGTGATGCCAGTGACCAGGGCTCCCACTGGGCACGCTCAGGCCCGGCGAGCAGGGGACCCTGTGCCAGGGCCAGGGACCATGCTCACTCACTAAGCTTTCCTCCACAGCCCCTCTGGAATTTAAGAACATAGTAGCTGCTCAATAAAGTCGGTTTCTTGTATGAATGAAAAGAACCGCAGCTGCTGCCCACTGTGCACTGTCCAGCAGCTACAGCTCCATGGGGGGGCGAGGTTGCTGCCCAGGTCAGGGATCTGGGCGGGGTTCGCCTGACCCCAGCCCACCCTGGCTCCTACTGCCCCCAGTACCAGCATGAAGTCCAGTCTGGGCCTCAGCCGGTGGAGGGGACGCCTCGGACAGGGAGGGGGCTCCACGCACCTCAGGAAGAGCTCAATGTGGACCACCGCTGGCGCGATCTTCTCCACCACGTCGGCAATGAAGTTGAACTTGTACCTCGGGCTGCTCAGCTTGTGGAGACCTGCACTGGCAGGAAGAACCCGGGGCCTCAGTGAGTCCCAGGTGCCACCCAGACCCTGCCTGGGGGAGGGGCAGGAGTCTCCCCCACAAGACCCCCCTGGGTTCATGGCCCTCTGGGGACACCCCATGCTTAGCAGTGCAGTGACACCCACACATCGGGAACGGGTCTCACTCTCCCCCAGAACTGTTAATGCCCAGCTCCCTGACATAGCTGCCTGGAGGCTGCCTCGCCAGCCAGGAGGTTCAGACAGGTTAGCACACTTGCCCTGGGCGGCACAGCACTGACGGGCTGCTCAGGCTGGGTCTGGGCTGATCCCCTGGGCCCTGGTGCTTCTGTTGCACACACGCGGCAACGCAGGCACTGGAACTGGCCCCGGCCCTGGCCCTGCCCTGGGGTCCTCCCCCCTGAGCTGCCCTGGCTGACCTGCCCGGGCCCGTGGGGGCCACCCTGGGCTCCCATCTGCATTTCACTTGGCCCCACCCCAGCCTGACTTGCCAAGCTGTTCGCAGACTTTTCTGGAACCTTCCGCAGCTCAGATTTCTGCTGCCGTCAGCAGCAGGCCTGCTGCCTCCTGGGGCCGCAGGCTGGAGGCACGTTGTTGGCTCCAGGCCCTTGGTTCCCCTGCTGAGGCCTGTGCCAAGGTGCCACGGGCCCCCACCTGTGATGGGCACTATCTGGAGCCCCAGCAGTGGTCCCTCGGCCCGGAATGAGCCTTGGGCTGTGCACCCCACATGCCCGGGCCTGGAGGCCGGCAAGGCCACTTTGCAGCTGTGCAGCTTCGGGCAAATCACTCCCCCTCTCTGACCCTTGACTCTTCATCTAAAATGAGATTGAAGACCCCCTGCCCCCACCCATGGAATCTGGCACCGTCTGCAACTTATGCTGTGTGAAGCTCCCTGCCGGGGACGCCACCACCCAGCCTGCCACCCTGATGTCGGTCAGCAAAGCAGGCCGAACCCGTCACGTCCAGCGTGGCAGCTGCTGCCTCTCTGCTCCACCCCGGCAGTGACCGAGCGTCGGGGTTGAAAGACAGCCTGGCTCTCCAGGTTGTCTGAGGGGACGGGGGGTGACATTGAGTGCAGCCCCGGGAGCCGGCCCGGGCCCACCGTCCTGCCCAGCAACGGCAAATGCAGTCCCTCCCCTTGTCCCAACGAATGTCCCGACTGTTCAGAGGCAGCCGGGGATGGCCCTCCATGTTCCAAGTGGGGAAACTGAAGCTCAGTGAGAGGAACCTTTTGGCCCGAAGACACACATCCAGGCTCCCTTCCTTAGGGGCCCCTCATGCCCCACCTGGTGTCCCCAAGGCCCCAGCTGTCCATGAAGTGTGGTCTGGGACTCAGGGCCTGCAGGAGCGCTGGCCTCACTCTCTGCGTCAGGGGCGGTGAGAAGGGCCCACCCACTGACCCTTCCACTGTGCCTCAAGTAGCCACGGGCACTGGCCACAGAGCATCTGCCAGCCTGAAATCAAAGGCCGCCTGCCCGGGAGAGGGGGCCCGCTGCCAGCCACTGCCCGACTCCTTGACGGTCCTGCGACCAGCAGCCAGGGGCCACAGTGAGAGAGCCTTCCTCGTAGACAGTCCCCTGGGTGGGGCGGGGTAAGGTCGGAGGCAGGTTACCAACCAGCCTTTTCAAGCCAGGGCTCTGGGCTCCCAGGACACACAGGTGCTCCGCACGGCTGCCCCACTCTGGGCAGAGCGCTCCCAGGCACTCTGAGGGTGAGGCTGCCCACCAGGCAGCTCAGCTCCGCCCGCCCTGCCCGGGGCCCCGGGAGCCTGCACTTGTTCCCGAGACTGCAGGCAGGAGGAAGGGGGCCAGCCAGTCCGGGACCCCGCCCCTGTCCAGGTCTGTCTCCAACACGACGTTCCCCACCAGGCCGTCCCCATGGCCCGGGGCCTTGGAAGACCCCAAGTCCCGGCGGGCAGCGACTGGGGGGATTTGGCAAGGTCTGCAGCTCTCCCATACATACCGGGGCTTGATTTACCCCAGCCCGAGGCTCACGCCCCACTGTTGTGCTGGGGCTGCTGTCCCAGGTGGGCAGTCCCAGGTGGGTGAGGCCTGGCACCACCCACCACCCTGCACTGTCACCTGCTGGGCCACTCACCCTGAGTTTCTGCTCCATCACCCACCACTCTGCCTCCTCGTGCAAGGACCACTCTCCACTTCTCCCTCCCAAGATGCTCCTGCGCACAGTTCACATCCCACCTCCTCCAGGCAGCCCTCCAGCAGACTCCTCCCAGTCAGAATGAGCGTCTCCCTGCTCAAGCTCCCAGCACAATGCCTCCCCCACAGCACTGGCTCTCGTGTGCAGTGTATCCCACCCGTGAGTACCAAGTGCCTTCCACGCGTGCACTTGTGCTGATGCAGCCTATGACCAGCCACACATGGCACAGTGTGGCCAGTGAATGGACAGAGGGAAGCCCAAGGTGCCCCTGACCCCAGGCCTGGAATAGCGCACTGGGCAGCGGAATGGTCCATGCAAAGGTCCAGCATCGCGTGGGAAGTCAGCTGCGGGTGGATGTGGCTGACCTGGAGCGGGGCCTTGCGTGGCTACCACGAGAGAATCATGTGTCTGATCAGAAAAGGCCACGTTCCCACACGGCCTCATTCTGGCTCTCAGTGGCTTCCACATGGGGGCTGGAAGCCCGTAAGGCACGTCTGTCCACCCCCACTGGCCAGGCCCAGGTCCCGTGTGCCCTGGGAGGCCACACAGTGCCTCGGCCACTGAGGCCCTGACCTTATGCCACCAGAGATCTGGGCGGCCTGGTGGCCTCTGCGGACAGTGTTCTTCGGATGTGGTCTCTCTATAGACCACTTAGAACAGGCGACCCTCAATTTTCCCCGTGATTTTTTTAAAAAATCACCCTCTGTCAAATCCCCAGGAGTCAAAGACTGGCCGAAAACACATCAAAGTAATTCATGGTGGCTACTTGGGGGCAGGGGAGTTAGGGGTGATTTTGTCTTTCACAGACCTTCCAAATTTTCTGCCACAGGCAAATATATGCAGATATATCTAAAAAATAGAAAAGAGAGAGAGGAAAGCCTGGAGGAGGGCTGGGGATGGGGCTGGGGTGGCAGCGGAAAGGCGGGCGCTGAGGCACCCTGTCCCCAAGGACGGGCCGCAGCAGCGGCCACCCGGAATCAGGGCCTTCCGGGTCTGCCTCCGGGGACCCAGCACAGGCAGGCGGGGCCCAGAAACACCCATCCAGAAGGATGGGAGTGGGGGCGGGGCAGGGAGGGCAGGCTGCTGCCCCGGACCCCTTGAAGCAGCAGGTCTGCAAACACCACCACAGAGCCAGCAGGTCTTGTAGGAGCAGCCTCCCAAGTGCGGTGTCATGTCCAGGTTCCAGACCAGGACCCTGAGGCTGGAGGCAAAGCTGGGTGGGGGTGGGGACAGGCCTGGCACTGGCCCAAGGTCCCACGGACTGCAGGCTGAGCCTCCCAGACCCCAGGATCTGAAGCACCCCTTTGGGCGCCCAGGCCAGCCAGCTGCTGACAGGGACTCAGCCAGGCCCTGGCCCTTTAAGCTGATGGTGGCAGGGGAGGGGCAAGGGGAGGGCTGGGGTGGGGTGGGGGGGGGAGAAGGGCCTGGTTCCTGGTGCTTCTCCCCCACACGAATGAATCACCCCTGAATCAGTGGGAAGGGAGGACTCGGTTCCCACTGCCACTTTCCACATGAAAACCTCGGCCCCGGGCTGGGAAGCAGACTGTTTGTTTATTTGGGGGCTGGACAACCCCCACCCCACCCCACCCCGTCCTCATCCTCGAGCCAAAGCTCTGAAGTCAACAGTCAGTCTCGACCAGACTCAGCTGCTCGAGTTTTTTTTTTTTTTTTTTTTAAAAATAAACTAATCCACAGGCCTTGGGCGTTTCAGTCGGAGGAACTTGTCAGAGGAAAGCCATCGGGCCAGGTGTCCCGAGGCGCCTCTGGGGACAATAAGGGCCCCACCGGGAAGGAGGGGAGACACGGGCGGGCATTCCACCTGCCGAGACAGCGGCCATGCTGGGCCACCTGGAGGGCTCGGGGACAGCGCTCACCCCGAGGTGACTTGCTCCGTGCAGGCTCTGGACAGTCCTAACTGCCTCGGACAGACGGGGACACTGAGGGGCGCACCCCCGCAGGCCCCCTAGTGCTGCCGAGCGGGCCGTGCACCCCACAGCCCAGGACTACTGCAGACCAACTGCGCATGCCACCTCCACCTCCCCCTGCCCGGCTCTGGCACCCAGTCCCAGGGACCCTGCCCCTCTGCCCCCTGCTTGTGCACTCAGAAGACTCATGTCACCCAGTGGTTAGGCACAGCCCAGGGACGGATGGGCCGTCTTTGGGTCCGGGACCCTGCCGATCTGCCCGTGGTGGTGACCACAGCCTGCAGGCCAGGTGCCACTTCCCAGCAGCCCCTGGGGTCCAGGTTCCCTGCAGGGCCGCAGCCTTGCCTGCTGCCCCGTACCCTGGCCCCGGCTCCGCCTCCCTGAGCACACAGGCTCTGGAAGGCCCCGGCCTCCGCCCACCCCTCGTCCCTCAAGGCCCGGACAAGACACTTCCTCTTGGGAGCTGGTCTGACTCAGAAGGCTCCGTGGCCACCTCTCCTCACAGCTGGCTCCTCCATCTGTCCCTGTGGCCCGGGTGTCCCTGACCCACAGCAGGGAGCAGCGAGAGAATGAGTAACGAGTGGAGGAGCAGGGGGTGCATGGATGTGCTCCAGGGACAGGGGAGCAGGGCCCCCCAGGCGCCCCGGCACCCACCCCAGGCCCCGCCCCCACCAAGCCAGGCTGTGGGGCCCCGGGACCTCTCCTGGTCCAATCAGCTCCCAGACAGGCCCTGTGTTTTTCTTCCTCTTGAAAACTTGTCTGTCCCCAGTGAACCTTCTCCCTCCAGCCAAGGACAGTGGCTTCAGATCCCACAGGGGGGTGGTGGGCGGGGGGGGGCAGTCCCTGTCCTTAGGACCCAGCCTCGGCTCCCCCTCCACTGCTCACCACGCCCACGGTGGATGCGCTTGGGGCCT